TTTGTGGAGTTTGATTCTCCTGGAAGTGGCTTCGATTTTGGGGTCAAAGAATAATTCTTCAGGGGGATTGCTCCTAGTCATACATCAGAAATTGAGAACCAAAGGTAACAAGTACAGTATACGAAGGGCGTTTAATTTTCAAGATATCTGAAAAAAAACAGAGTATGAAAACGATGAACAGTAAACAGTTTTCAAAGATATTTCACGCCGTCCCCGGCAATGGCGCCACTTTTGGTGGGTGTCGAATCCACCAAATAAATCTACTTAAAACTTGTAGAAAGTGATAAGAAGGGTCGACCACACAGAGATGAGAAATATCAGATGAAAATTTGGATCCAGTGAAAGTTATGCAATGTATGAACATAATTAAGACTTGGGCAAGTGATTTTATAATTTGACAAAGTGGATGAAACCTAGGGTCATCTTCCTCTCTACTCGATATGCATATGCTTTGGTTTTATTACTCTATTCGTGGTATGAAACTGTGTTTAATCATGCTCAATAACACGTAGGGTCACTTCTAATATTCCAGACAGTAGTCCTAACAGCAACTAGCCCACTAACTTTCGTTGTTCACTCAAGAATACTACTAAGCCATTAGGTTCCTAAGCCCTTGTGATTGCCTCGTGTCAAACAACAATTTCTGTTATTCTTTGAAATCTTGGGCTGTTACCCCCTCGTTATCGATTAATTTTAGACGTTCTAAGTTAAGTATACCCTTCCGGGATTCCCCTAACATGCAAGCACAATTAGCTAAATGGTCAATTCAACTAAAAGGATAATGAAAAATATAAGACTAAGAAAACAAATATTATCCGAGAGCTAAATCAAAACATACTCATATAGAGTAGAGGATTAGACCCTAGAAAGGAGTTTAGCTACACATGCTTAGAAACTTAAAGACAAAAGAATCAAAGTACAAAAGCTTCCACATGATTACATAGAAAGGTAGGAAACAGGGGAAGAACAAAGTCAGGTTGTGTGGTGAAGTGCTGCTGACTTTGCAAAGTCAGCTTCTCACTTCTCCAAGAGACACCCTTGAGTCTGCTTTCCTAACTTATGCTCTGTTTCTAACCTAACTGAAAGCTAACTCTATTTCTTCATTCCTAACTATTCTCTTTTTGTTCTTCCACTGCTATTGGTTTATATAGAGGCTGGGGGAGTAAGCTTACTTAGCCAAGTTAGTCTCCTCTTTACCCAATGGGTTTAATCAAAAGAGAGGAGACACATACTTCCTCAACTTTCCCCCTTACCTCTGATCAACTTTTAGATGGGATTTGGTTGCTCTAATTAAGTTTTAAGGCACATCAAACTCTTTCCTTATCAGCAAACATCACTTTATCAACTTGTGTTCCCTTGCTTATCCTTGAAGGATCACTTGAATTTGAACTTCAGAGCTCCAATTCCCGCCGGATTCATCAGCCTCCATGAATTGCACCATTAGTCCAATGATGCCTTTTTCAATTGTGCCCAGAACTTCACCAATCTGCTACATTTTGCCTAATTATTTTTATAGATTTTGCAATTAAGTTCCTTTGATCACCAAAAGTCACCAAATTAAGCTATGTACATAAAATACTTCCTATATTAACCTAAATCCTAAGTACAAAGAGGTACAATTTGTGTCCAAAAACATGCTTAAGTTGACACTTACCAGCACACAAATATCATTCGAGAGCTAAATTAAAACATAATTATATAGAGTAGAGAGATTAGACCCTGTAAAGGAGTTTAGCTACACATGTTGGAAAGCTTAAACACAAAAACAATGAAATACAGAAGCTCCAACATTTTTACAACAGAAAGGAGAGAAAACGTGGGAAGAACAAAGTCAGAGAGTGTGGTAAAGTTCTGCTGACTTAGTAAAGTCCGCTTCTAACTTCCCAAGGGACACCCATGAGTCTACTTCCTAGCTGATACTCTGTTTCTACCCTAACCGAGAACTAAGCAAACTCTACCTTCTTCCTTCTTAACTATGATGTCTTCTGCTATGGCTTCAAGTGGTTTTTACAGAGGTTGGGGGAAGTAAGCTTGCTTAGTGAGGTTGGTCTCCACTCTACCCGATGGGTTAAAACTACAGTAAGGAGACCCATACCTTCTCAACTTCTCCCCTTACCTCTAATCATTTTTAGGGTTGATTTTAGTTGATTAATCAGTTTTAAGGCACATCATCCCTTAATTGACAGCAACATCATGTATTCTTCCATACCTTCATTGCCTTAGCCTTGAAGATTTGGTTGAATTTCTTCCAATTGCAGCTCCTTTTCCCACCGGATGCACCACAGCCTCAATATTGCACCACCACTCCAATTGTGCCATTTTCAGTTGCGCCCAGAAGGTCACCAAATTGTCTCATTTTGCCCACCTTTTTATAGATTTTGCAATATTCTCTCTGTATCACCAAAAGTCACCAAATTACACTATAAACATAAAATATTAAACAAATTGACCTAAAACCTTAGTATGAAAAGGCAAATTTTGTGGTAAAAAATATGCATAAGTTGAAACTTATCAATTGCATGCATAAATTGAAAGAAAGTTGGGTGGATAGAAGGACAAAGAAACAAAAAAATGAGAAGAAAAAAAATCAAAATTAAAACATTGTATATTTAAATTGCATAAATAACCTTTTTACACACGTGTGAGGATACTACCAAAGTTTCATATGTGAGAAGGGAGAAAATCCCTTTTTATATATATAGTTCATAAGTTAATAATAATAATAGTTAGTGTACAAATAGTCAGTCTATTTATTCCGGTTCATATAAATAGTAGAAGAAGATGAGAAGTGAAAAATATAAAATATGAACATTAGTTTTAGAAGTTTGATTAAGTTGGGTTTTTTGTGGGAATAATCATTAATAAATTCATTGGTTGATACTGGAGATGGCCCATTATCTTTCTTCCGTTCGGTTATTATCTAGGGGACAAACTAACTAAAGACAATAAAAATAGCTTGAATGCTAATAAAAGTGCCCGTTTCTTTTTTTTTTTTCACTATTAAATTTTCATTAGAATGATGCGTTTTATACTACCGAAGTTGGAGAGAAACTGAGTAATTATATATATTAATTATACATATTGTTTGAAATTTTTTTTTTTTAAAAACATAGCAACTTATGAGGGTCGAGAATTTTCCAATATGCAAAATTACTGATCAAAATTCCTTTTTGCACATCTCATGGACATATTTCCGCAATCACTTTCCCTGACGATGAATTGACATTTATAACATTGCTACCACTATAACCGAAGAAGGAGAGCGCTTGTGTACTACCATATCTTGTTGTATATAGCACAAATTCAAAACTATATTCTCTCCTTGAACCAACATATCCGAATAACTGATGATTTGCTTTAAACATCTTAATTTCAAGTAGGTATGTCAACCAGAATCGTAATTACCGATTCTAAAAACCATAACTGAACTACATAATGAGATCGCTTATTGTTCTAATAATTGTCAAAACTAAAATGAACCAACGGTTCAAAACCATACTAAAGTGTCATTTTTTTATTATAAAAATAGAGTAGTGATATATGCGGTGAATATTTACAGGAAATTTTAGGGAATAATATGGCTGAATTTTGACTATCGTCTAACCCTAAATGGATAAACCTTTAAAAGTAAGGTCTAATTTATGATTCATTCCCATATATTTTCTTTGTAACTTTTCCTGCAACAATCATTACTCATAAAAATATCATTATAACTTGTTAGTTTCTTTTAAGATTTTTATTTTTAACATATGACAAACCATCTTATTTTTATTTAGACAACTTTTGTAAATATGGTTTATTGATTTGGATAAATCTTAAGCGGTACTATTTATATAAATAAAGTTGGGGTACGGTCATTAGGTACCGTATTGGTTTCTTTTAAAATACATTTTACATATTTAACTTTAATTAAAAGAAACCAATGATGTTGTTGACACTCTGCCTAGAATTGCATCATCGAGCTCATCGGTTTTATACCAAAATATAAGGGAGCTCCAGCAAATGGTCTTTGATCTTGGATCAAACATATTTTTATTATATTAGAGTAACATAACAAGATGTAACTTTATGTTTTATATTCCTGGTTTCTGCTTTATCTACTATGAATTGCCATAAGATCAAAGACATTCATGTACTACAATTTTTCTGTGTGTTTATGGTAAATTTTTTGATATATCTTTGTACTTTGATTGATTCAGCAATATATATGGCGCAATTCTGGCCCGGTACCAAAATTTACGATTCTAAAATCAAATGTATAAAAAAAAACCTACCAAAAAATGGAATCGCAACCAAACCAAAATCGAACCAAAACTAACGTTATCAAAACTGAAATCGGAACTAGGTCCCAAGGTTTAGTTTGGGATCCCATCATTATGGTTTTAGAACTACCACTTCTGAAACAGAAACCTCGGTTCCGGAACTGTGGACATGCCAAATTTCACGAGTCAAAAAAGGTTTTAGGAAAGTCAGTTGTACATGTTCAGGCTTGAATGATGATTTCAACATTGTATTTGGTGAGGTGCGTTAAATGTTTTTCCTGCGAAAATTTCATTAACAAAAATCGTTATGCAAGGGGAGGCAACCCTAAATATGGGTATAGTTGTGTGGAGGATTTTTTCTTCAACATGACAACAAGTTATAAAAGTGAATACCCATAATCAGATTCTAGATCCAGGTATTTGAGCGAATCATCTGAGAATGGTAGCTAATAATAACAATAGGGCTTAGGATGAGTGGCTCTCACTGATAATTTAATCTTGAATCTATTGTAGCTCTACTTTCCGAAGGCTAAAAAATGGAATAGACTAGTAGACTGTGATAATGTGCAGTCACACAATATGGTTGATAATAGATATAGTTGGCATGATAATGTGTCCCAAACATATTTAATTTGTGGTCTCCAAAATTTGTCATGAGATATGACATGTTATATGAGACTCCAACAATGCTAGAAACACTCTTAAAAGGCAAATGTAAGATATGTCTTAATAAATATTGTCAGCTTCATTAATTGATCATGATTTCTAAATATCAATACAACATCGAGTACAATGTAATTCTTCCTCTAAAATCAAAACCTGTAAGAATTGGAAGAACTAGGCATGCACACACTTGAGGAAAAAGGTCTTCAAAAACAAGAAAAGGAAAAGAGAATAAATGAAGATTAAAGAACAAATAATTGGAAAGGATGGCCCTTAATTGCCTATCGCTTTTCCAAACATAGCAAAGCTAGCTGTATCTACATAAGATTGTGATGAGTGGTTTGATGGTGCTTGGCATTTCTGATATACATCTCTATATATACATATACAACAATTCGCAGGAGGTTTGATACTTGTGGTAATCTGTTCAGAACTCACAAGAAGTTCCCAGCCTTTGCGTTGACAAGCACATGCACTTCCTTTCTTCCAAGAATTCAGGCAAAAGCTTCTGAAAAATATCCAAGTACAAATCCCAAACTTCGTTACTCATATCCCCAAAACAAATTTCTTCGTGATCGCTACAAAGATTTGGTACAGTAAAACTTATGCTCCTCAACAACACTCCCCCTAACTTGCAATTCTCATATGAATTAGCTGGAACAACATTTTGCCCTGTGCATTCTTCTCCCGCAGTGTTTGAATTAGTATCCGCGTCTCGGTTTCTATAGTTGCCTCCCTCTTCTCTAGGGGACAACTTTGACTCGGTAACTGTAGTTAATAATGATTCAGATGCAAACCTTGGAATTTTAGCAACCTTACCTGATATAGAATAGCTTTCAAGGAAGGATTTGTTAGTGTCCGTGTAGCTATCTTCATTATCATCAAATTGGAGAACATTTATATCTTCTTCACCCTGTTCATCGGTAAAATCGTTATTTAGAATACTGCCTATATTTGTCTTCGCATTCATACAAAGGCTTTCGAATGCACTCCAATTTTCTTCTCCTCCATTAAACTCACGAGTCATCATTTCACCTATATCAGCCAAGCACATTCCAGAGTCAGTGGCATTCTTCAAGAATATGGTACAAAGGATAAGAATCCGAACAGATGACTCCCTGATGCAAGGAACTTCAACTCTTAGCAACTCTGCATCTTTGAATGGATCAAGGCTGGATATATATTCAATCTCAGACTCTGAAAAGGGTATTAAAGCTTGAGGCCAGTGTAGCCATTCAAAATACGGATCCTCAAGTGACTCAGGTAAACAAAAACCATGATCTATAGGTACAAGATCAGCTATTCCATTGCAGTAAGCTTCCTGCCCTTTCTTCACCAAGATATTTCCAGCATGCCTATCAAGATTAAACAGCCTTAAATCCAATATCCCTATCCGATGAATAGCACTGACAGAGAAGCCTGAAGGACCCAAATCTGCAGCATCAGATTGATGTTCCACAAATCGTTGGAGTGAAGCTATTTTGTAAGTTGGGGGTGAAATTGTGTCAGAAGTGTTTACATTAAACTTGTTATATGACATCTTAACTAGTGCAGTTGGAGGGACACCAGCGAAACCATCATGATCAAGAAGATAAGCAGCTAATTCACGGAATCCAGTTTCACCAATTCTAATAGATTTCTTCATACCAGGTTGACCTAGCATCCGACCTGCAAAACCTTTAGGATTGTTGAAAGCCAAAGGTTCCTCATCAATGGGTTTTGCAACAGCAATAGTTTCACCATTTCTGCAACGCATGAAATAGGCACCGCCTAATCCACTTGAAACTGGCTCGGGTGTGACTCCAGAGGCCATAGCTATTGTAACCTCAACAACGAGGGCACGCACTTTAGGAGCTCCATTTCCAGCTATAATTTCAATCCTTGAACTCGACTCCAGTTCCTCATCGAATGTGGTAGAAATAGACAGACATGGAGTGGAAAAACTTTTATGAAAAGGGTTAAAGTCAATTGCATTCTTTATGGATTTTCTGGTGGTGGTATAGGTGGATTCCAACATTGTGTAATCAAATTGAGAATAAGATGGGCGTTTACATCTTGGAGGACGGCCAAATGGCTTGAATGCATGGTGTTGATCAATGGCAACAGCCATATTGAACAATTTTGTGCAATTCTAATAAACTGTAATACATGCTATGGGTAGTTTCTTGAAGGATCTCTAGAGATTTTTTTTTCTAGATTAGGAGATTAGCTATCAAATACCTGTAAAAAAATAAACAACATTATTGCGATAGTTTGAAATGTTGAACATAGAACTCGTTAGTTTTTCTATCAGCTAATAAAACAACACATTAACATCTACCAAGAAGGCAAAAAAAAAAAACACCATTTAGGTAATGATACAACCATTTCAAACACATTACCACCATTTTAGTTTTATGTTTCAAAACTTACACGAAATCCGCTTTCACATGGTTGCAAACACAAATAACTGGAACCATGATGCTAATCTCCGAACACCTGCAAAAATTATTCAATACATCAATATGAAAATTACGTCCATCAATCTTATATTTGTGCACTCAACAAAAAAAAAAAAAAAAAAAAACAAAAACAAACAAGAATGTTTGGAAAACTTAATCGTACCATCTTATAGTCCTTCGCTCTGACGATTAAAATTCGCCAAAATATGACTGAAATGCAGAGCCAAAAAAAAAGTAGAAACTCTAGTTAAGAAAGTTCATGAGTAATTTCATGCATAGATGAAATGAAATAGATGGAAAATAATATTGCATTACAAGTTCGGGTAAATATTCATCTTTCTTCCTCTTCCCTGTGAATCAACTTGAAATGGTTCGATTAATTTAACACTTAATCGTAATTATGTTTTACATTAGCAATCAACATTATTTCTGGATCCATGTTACCGCAAATAATTACAAATGAAAAAAATCACCCAAAATACCCAACTTTTGTAAATTATAAATATTAAGTTTATTATTATTATTATTTTTTTTTTGTATTTTGGTTTTGGAGAAGAAAACTTCAACAAGAGTTATCAATGCATATATGCTACAAATAACTCATTTGCTCTATATTGGAAACCAGATCTCCATTCCATAATCTCAATTCATGTTGCATGAGAACATCACATATCAAAAGAAAAAAACTACAATCCAAATTGCCATTTTCATTGAATCAAAAAAAAAAAAAAGAAAAAATATTGACAAATAAAATGATGAACAAGAAAAAAAAAGAAAGAAGAAGAGAATAATGGAGGACGGAAAATAAAAAGACTAACCCCTGAACGCTGGTGAGGCATTCAGGAAGACCAACGGCAACGGGGATAGCGAATGAATCCGTTACCGAAAAGTTCCTTTCGAAAAGAAAATATGAAACCCCTCTTCTCAATGAAAATTGTCCCCAGCCTTTTTAGGTGGGGAAATTAGATTTTCTTTCCTAAATTTGGCACTATTTTATATTTTTTTTCTCAAATGAAACCGATATCTACGTTAAACAATCTGACCATCTTGCGGTGGGTTTTGCATTTTGCATGACAAATCTGTCAAAAGGGTCATCCAAATGGAATTCTTGCTATACATATATATCTTCTACGATCAGAACCATTAATTAGTTTTAAATTTGAAAGATTTGGTTGAAAAAATATTGGTTTTTTTATTAAAAAAAGATTAGATTATTGTGAAAATCAATCTACATTAGAAAGATTGAAAACGTAGTTGTTTTTTGTTTTTTTAAGAGAAGTGACTCACTACAGTAACTACTATTTTACTTCTCAGGAATTTTCTACCAACAATGTGATATCTTACTATACTTCAAAAATCAAATTTGGAGATTTAATTCTATTTCGCCATGTGGCGCTTGACAATTAAGATTTCATAAATTAAAAATTTACGCACGTCATCTTGCCAAATCTCTTTATTTAATTTATCCTAATTTTTAATATAACTTTTAGAATTTACATCCTATTTTCTCTCAACCTATCATCAAAATTTGTTATTAGATCAACACTTTTCTGTTCTTCTTTTTTCATAAATCCCATCGCCTTTTCTTCTTTTGTGTCCAAAGAACAAAAATTATAGGCATTAATAGCCATATGTTGCATCATTTTAATAGTCATATGTGTCATCATTCATTTTGTCAACTCCTCATCCACCACTTACTTCCTTGCAACTTTTTCATCTTTCAACAAAATTTAATTTTATTTCAAAAAAATTATTTTCTTCTCCAACCAAAATGTAAATTTTAATCGAATGTGAATTTATCAATTTCTATTGACAAAATCGTAAGTAAAAATGCCAAACAATTACTAAACACCGATTATAAATTAAAACAACTTCATTAAATTAAACTTTTTAAAACATTTTTACACATACAAACAAGAAAGACGTGACATGTCTTAACGGATTTATTGCCAGCCATTATCAAAAAAGAAATGTATATTATGCAAATTCAACTTAAAGTTTGCATGTCCGCACACTAAAAAAATATTTTTAATTTAAAATTTTTTTTTGGATTTTTTTTCATATACATTTTTTTGTCTTTTTGTCATTTTTTTAATAATTAAAATCTAAGTCAAACAATCAGGACCCACATCAATAAAAAAAAAGTTAATTAAGTTTTGAATAGCTAACGGAATGAGACCAACTTTTGTTATTCTGAAACTTCTGTTAAAAAAAACTAAAATTAGTGAAATAAAAATTTATGACGACTAATTTTGTTGAAGAAAATTTTATGATGACTGGGTCAAGCTACCCCAAAACTTGGGACCAAAAGCGGATTTCATCCTAAAAAAACAAAGTTTTCGGAACACAAAGACAAGAAAGCAACTTAAAGATTTGAATTTTGAGACAAATTATGATATAAACCATAAGATGGCTCACACACCTTAATCATGGAGTCACACACATTTTTTTCTTTTTTCTAAATTTATTTGGAACAAGTTTATTCCAATTAGGGTTTCTTTTTTCAATTGGAGGTTATTTAATAATCGCATATCTTTTGCAGGGGAACTCAACAAAATTGGTTTCATGCTTTCTTGTCTAGATGCCCATTTTGCAAGTCGGATGATGAAACAATACAACATGCGTTTTTCCATTGTTCTTTTTCATGGCAAATCTGGGATCATTTCTCAACCTTTTTTGGTTTGTCATTTCCACGAGTATCAAGTTTACTCTCCTTTTTGCATGCATGGTATTCATTAGGGAATTTCTCATCAGCTCTATCATCTATCATATCTGTAGTGCCAACTTTTATTTTATGGGAATTATGGAAAGTCATAGATAGTTTCTTGTATGATGGGATAGAGTTTAATGCTAAATCAATCATTTTCTTAATACAAGAACATATTTCTATCTTTCTTTCAGTGCATGAGGTTCATGTCAAGACAGAAATGGAGCATCGTTTTCTTCAAGATACTTTTTATGTGAAGGTTCTACAGTCGAAAAAGAAGAGTGTCAGAGTTCTCCGATGGCATTTTCCGGCATTGAACAATTATGCACTCAGCATTGATGGATCATCACATGAATCTCCAAGAGAAGCAGGAATAGGTTATATCATCCGAGATCATAGAGGAAACCTAATTGCTGCTGATGTCAAGAACTAGGTCTTTGTAGTAGTCTTGAAGCAGAAGTGGAGGCCCTAGTCACCGGTCTTACGAAATGTGAAGAACAGCTACAAAGAGTACAAGTAAGATCTGATAACAAAACTTTAGTCTTTTTTCTTTAGAAAAATTCTATTTTTTCTTGGAGGTATGAGCCACAACTCTGTCAAAGAAAGGAAATTTTGCAAAAACCTTCTTACACATTGGAGCATATTTATCAGGAAGTAAATGCAGTCGCAGACTCTTTAGCAAAAATGGTTTCCACAGGAATATTGGCCACATATATACACCACTCCCAACTTCCAAACTACATGCATGGTTTGCTGTTCCTGGATCAACAAGCTACTCCATATATACGAATAAAGTAGCTTAATACTTCAGTGCTTAGGTTTTAAATACATTTTCTAATTTTATTTAAAAGAGCTGTTATGGAATTCTTTTATGATCTTTGTAAAAAGGTCTCCTAGCATAATTTTAGTTTAGAAGTCTACAGAATTGTTAGGGGATTATAAAAATCTTTGTAAGACATATCTTAGTTATTTTATTACAAATGCATCAGAATCGTCATGGGATTTTAGATAATCTTTGTACGGCGGTTCTTTCCTTTGGTTAAGTCTTAGGCACTGCCCTTTATAATTTTCCTTTTAAATTATCCCATGTATGGCTCACACAATGTATGAAGATATATAATATTGATGAAGAGCAATTTCAACTTGTCGCCAAATGTACTACCAAAATCAAATTTCAATAACCAAACTCAATCATGTCACATCTTCAATAGAATACATCATAATTTTATAAAAATGCGACAGTTTAACTTTCTAAGGTAAATAAAAAGACACCAATATACCGCAAACCCATCACTACATTAAAAGAAATTCCACGCAAAGTATTCATAGTGAACCTGCACCAAACTTTCTTACAAATATTATGAACACTACGATCATAACTTCATAACATCAAATGGCGAAAGATTCACAATGCGGCTTTTCAATTCAAAGAGTGGAATCATGTGCTACCGAAGGTTTTTTTTTTTTCCCTCTTTCTTCTTAGTTCATTGTTAAAGGAGTAAAAAAGGGAAGACCTCCCATTCTCCCTCTCAAGTTCTGGGGGCATGCCTTGTAAAGTGAATAAATAAGTATAATATATAAATTCATCAAATTAGAAGGTAGTAAGAACAAAAAAATAAAGAAAGAGGTAGTGCATGTTAGTATTGTGGAAATTATAAGTGATTATTGTGTGTAATTTATTTTGTATTTCATGTAGCTATTAGTATCTTTATTTGAAAGAATTTAAATAGTTATTAGGAAGTTTCGACAATCACTAGCATTTGATGTAGTAATAAATCCATTATTACAAAGAAGAAAAATTAAGAAATGGTTGAACATAAATTGAAAGAAGGTGAAAAAAGAGGGTTTAGAAAGATATAGAAAAAAAAAACAGAATAAAATTTACCTAGCATTTATTGGACTCTCAAAAACAATAAATAAATAAACAAATAATGTTGATTGTTTAAACTACGAATATAACCCTTCAGCATGTAAGAGATATTACCGGAATTACACATGTGAGAAATGACTAAATCCTCCCATGTATGAAGATAAATAATATATATATATATATATATATATATATATATATATTTATTGGTATCAGAGCATAGTTAAGAAACTAGTAAAAAAGTTTAACAATATATATAGAAAGCATAAGCTTTTCATTTGTAACCAATATATTCTTGCAACTGATATATTTTCCTTTATCAGTTAATGTAGAAAGGATAGATACCTGTTTAGTGATAAACATAGAACAACATTACATAATAGATCTGAAACTTATTCATGATGATTAATCTAAATACATGGTTTATAATTCATGGAACTCTAAAGTTTCTGCACCAACCCAGAAATATTACAACTGATATTTATTTACATGTTGTGCTACTTCCTCAGCTCTTATACTTATCCCTATAATATTTGAAATTATATAATTGAATCATGTCATTTTTTAGAACTTTTTCTAAACCTTATTCTGCCTCAACATCTATCTTCTTATTTAATCCATATGAATGGAATATAGATGGTCAATCATATAACATCATAAATATACTTTAGTAAATGACTATGATAGCTACATCCTATCGTACTGCTCAAAACTGTACAGATCAATTAACAACTCACAGGTAATTGCAGGATTTACAGGTGATAACAGAAAAATATATACACTTTTAGCATGCTTTTCTTACTCATTTCTACTCATAATTTAGTGTCAATTAGTAAGAATTAGTTTACTTTTAGGGTGATTTTACAATTCAGGTATCTCAGAGGGCCAATGTGGAAAATTAGCATAAAAGAGGGCCAAATTGCACAAAAAGATATCAGATTGGACTGGAATGGAATGGAAGCTGCTGGAAATTGGGCTGTTGGAAGTTCGATTAGAGGTGGAACAAGTGGAGAAATCCTTGCTGAGGAAGGAGGATTGGCAGCAGATGATCACAACTTGGAAGAATCTGCTGCAGTACACTCAATTGAGAGGAAGAAGAGCAGCTGCCGAATTGCTACTACAGTAGCTGTTGCTGTTGTCAATCAAAGAGGAGCCACGAGCTAAAATCTTTGTCCCCAAAGAAGGAAATTGCTTTGCCATCACTGCAAGTTGCTGCTGTTGCAAGTGGAAGAAGAGAAAGAGGGAGAATATGTGATAAGCAGCAGCTGCAACTCTATTACTTACCAATTGATGCTGCTACTGAGTTGATGGATTGGCCATTGCAGAAGGGTGAGCAATGGTGTAGCAAGTGACCCAGGAAACAAGGAAGAAAAGGGCAGAAGATTCAAGCTAAATTGGGGGCTGGAGACACAATGATGGAAGAAAGCATGCTGCTGATGTTGCTGCTTACAGACTGCTGCAAATTGACCTGTGGAGAATAAAGAATGAAGAAATGGAGATTTTTGGGTGCAAATGGTAAGAAGGCGCCGGAGAAGAAGACTAAAGAGAAGTAGCAATAATGAGTAGAAAGTGGCTGATTGCGGCTAAAAAAGGAAGGAGCTACTCAAAGAAGGCAGCAACTTGCCAATTAGACAAGTTAATGAATAAACAAATACCTTTGGCTGCTGCAACTTACTGTCTCCTCTTCTCTACTGAAGGAAGGCCAGAACTCCACCAATCCCAGCCTCTCTACCAATGCAATCAAAGAGGAGCCACGAGCTGAAATCTTGGTGCCCAAAGAAGGAAATTGCTTTGCCATCACTGCAACTTGCTGCTGTTGCAAGTGGAAGAAAAGAAAGAGGGAGAATATGTGATAAGCAATAGCTGCAACTCTGCTACTTACCAAATGATGGTGCTGCTGAGTTGATAGACTGGCTGCTGCAGAAGGGTGAGCAATGGTGTAGTAAGTGACCCAGGAAACAAGGAAGAAAAGGGCAGAAGATTCAGGCTAAATTGGGGTTGGAGACACACTGATGGAAGGAAGCATGTTGCTGATGCTGGTGCTTACAGACTGTTGCAAATTGAGCTGTGGGGAATAAAGAATGAAGAAATGGAGATTTGTGGCCGTAAATGGTAAGAAGGCGTCGGAGAAGAAGACTAAAGGAAGGACCTACCCAGAGAAGGTAGCAACTTGCCAATTGGGCAAGTTGCGGAATAAACAAATACCTTTGGCTGCTGCAACTTACTGTCTCCTCTACTCTGCTGAAGGAAGGCTAGAACTCCACCAATCCAAGCCTCTCCAAATCTCTAAAAATAACAGTTAGAAAAATAACAGATTAGGTAGTTAGATTTAGTCTCAAATACAGTAGTCAGGTAGTTAGTTAGTAGGTTAGAAACAGGGTACTAGCAAGAACAAGGAGGCAGACTGTCACTCTGTCAAGTGGCGAACGCCACTCGCCATAGTGAGAAGTCAGAATCTGTCCCTGCTAACCACCCTTCCTTTCTTTCCTCTAACCTTTTGATCTAGATTTATGTCTTATTTTTTGTACTCTGTTGCTCTCATGTTTAACTCAATAAGCATGAGTAGCTAACTCAGTTAACGGTTAAATCCCTACTATCTTTATGTGAAGGTTTTGATTCAGATTCCTTGATGAGGTGTTGTGCCTGGATAAGTGATTAAATTAACCTTTTAATTAAATTGGTCACTTAATTAAATATGCTTCCATGGTTATGAAGATCTGAAAAGGGGAACATAACCTTTGAACTGCTTAATCTAGTCTATGACAATGGGAAAAATCTACCCTGCGGTTCGAAACATCAATGGAAGTTAGGTGAATGGCATAGGCGATCAAAGAGGGCTAAAGAACTAAATGGCTTAGGTTAATGAATCACTCTGACTGGAAGGTAGGTGATTTAGATAATCTAGGACTCTTTATTCTGTCTGAAAGGAATTATAAAGAATATAAGTGCCTGATCGAACAACTAATCATGCACTACAGGAAAATTGAATCAAAACTAGATCATAAAGGTAGGAAGGTGATTGACCCTTTTGCCTCTTCACTCTATCAAGTGACTATTCTCACTCTCCCAAGAAACAATCTGTTCAACTCGTTTTCTTTCTTTCATGCACTTTAATCAGATTTTGAGCGGTTGACTGCTGTCTCTGCGGAACGACCCTGCTTACCACTAGCTACTCGTTTTAAATAGGTTTATAAATATTCTTTCTAGGAAGTGGTTCAACGATAAACCCCTCCACCAAAAGTGGTCCCATTGCTGGGGATAGCGTTAAAAATTCTTGACGTTTGATTATTGTGTTTTGTTTTTGTGTTTGTTTTTAGTTATCTGATTTCATTCAAATTCACTCACTCAAAATCTTTTACTGTTACTTTCATGATTTGATTACTGGTTTATGACTAGAAGTAAATCTTCGTGAGAGAAGTTTTAACCCAGAAATCAAAGACACGGTGAGGAGATCAAAATCCTTGCGAAACAGAGTAGCTACTCCTCGAGTTCCTAAAGAAGATCAGAAGAAGATGGCAGAAGTAGCAACAGCTGATCAACCTCAAGAAAGAGAGCTACAACCAACTCAATCCAGACTGCTAAGAGATTATTTTATACCCCAAGAAGAGGAAGTTCAAACTCCACTGGTGTACAATGATGTTGCAGCAGAGAACTTTGAGCTCAAAACTCAAATGATTCAATGGGTGCAAGCTGCTTGTCTTTTCTATGGACTACCTAGTGAAGATCTAAATGAGCACATCAGGATATTCCTGAGACTGTACAGTACCTTCAAGATTCAAGGTTTGTCTAAAGATGAGGTTTACTTGAGACTATTTCCATTCACATTGCAGGATATAGCAGCAAAATGGTTGGACACTCCACCCAACAATTTAATCGACTCCTGGAATGGACTCAGACAGACATTCCTTACATAATTCTTCCCACCTATCAAGGCTACTGCCTTAAGATCAACCATCATGACTTTTCAACAGCATGGGACAGAGATTCTTTATGAGACATGGGAAAAATTTAAGGATCTAATGAGGAAGTGCCCATAACATGGTGTAAAGCCAATGTAGTTGTGTATTTTCGACAATGGATTGCAGCAAACTTCCATACTTGATTCATCATCTGGAGGAGCATTCATGATGAAACCTGTGGATAAAGCAATCCAGCTGCTGAAGAATATGTGTGCTAACCATTTCAGATGACAGGAGGAGCGTAGAGCTACAACTAAGAAGGCAGGAGTGTTGGAGCTAGATGCTACAACTCACTTGCAAGCACTGATGACGGCCATCTCCAGTGAGATATCAAAGTTAAGGGCTGACATCAACAAACCAAAGGTTGATGTATGTGAAATCTGCACAGGATCTCACCCCAGCTCTACCTGTCAGGCCACTATGGAAGAAGTTCAGTTCGTGAGACAAGGAAATGACAGAGAAGGCTTCAATAGTTACAATAATTGGAGGCCACAGCAGAACAAGAACTGGACTAATCAGCAGTCGAACTGCCAGAGATCAGCTCAGCCACCTGGATTTGAGAATCAACCTTTCAGAATCGAGGAAAAAGGTTGGATAGAGGTAATATGTGCCCTTGTTAATCTTGATGTTACCATTAAGGAATTGCAGGAGCAAATCACATGGACAGCTAGAAGGGTGACCGACAGCACTAGGGGGGATGATTCCATGGAGATTAAGCAGGCCAACACAATCACACTGAAAAGTGGAAAGCAGCTGCCAGGAACTAGTACAACAGTCTCAGAGAAGAGGAGCAAAGAAAACCAAGATGTAGAGTCATCAGAAAAGAAACTGCAAAAGGAGGCAACCAGGTGGAGCAGAATACCCCTGACATCGACTTAACGGAGGAACAACAGCTGTTAAGGCAACCACCTCCATTTGAGCCTACACTACCATTCCCAGTACAAGATCCAAAGAAGAATGTAGAAGCTGGAATGAAGAAATTTGTTCAGAACTTGGAAAATCTTCACATCAATGTTCCCTTGATAGATGCTCTGCGACAAATGCCAAAATACTTCAAGCATCTAAAGGAGCTGGTGACGAGTAAACCGAGGATCCATGACTGTCCCTTCATGACTCTGAATGAGGAATGCAGTGCAGTGCTTCAAAAGAAGCTACCTGCAAAACTAAAGAATCCAGGGAGCTTTACTCTACCATGTACAGTAGGGAACATGAGTATCAAGAAGGCCCTACTAGACTTGGGAGCGAGCATTAATCTAATGCCCCTATCGGTTTTTAAAGCTTTGGAGATCGATGAGGTGTTAATTCCCACCAACATCACTCAGCAGCTGGCTGACAGATCACTTACCTACCCAAAAGGTGTGATCCATGATATTCTGGTAAAAGTTGGAACATTCATATATCAAGCAGATTTCGTGGTGCTCGATATGGAAGAAGATACGGATGTCCCCATCATCCTTGAAAGACTATTCCTAGTAACCTTTGCTGCTCTGATTGAAGTTAAGAATGGAGTAGTCACCTTGCAGTTCGACGGAAAAAAGGTAACCTTTAATATCTTCGATAGCATGAAATTTCCTGCGGGAAAACAACAATGTTTCAGGATTGACGCTATCGAGATGGTTATACAGGAAGCATGTGCAGTCCATGCTGAACCAGATGAACTACTAAAGTTGCTAATTCAAGGAAAAGTGAAGGAAACACAACCCCCTGCGGTAGAGAAAGAGGAGGCAGTCACATTGGTAAGTTACATTATTTACTTGCCAAAGTGCTCTGTCAAACAAGCTACTGAAATCTTGGATATATCCAAGGAAAAAAGGAGCCTCAAGCCATCTATTGACGAGATGCCAATGATAGAATTAAAACCATTGCCAGCTCATCTTAAGTATGTCTACTTAGGAGAAATTAACACCCTACCTGTAATCATCTCATCCACTCTCACAACAGTGAAAGAAGATCAATTGCTCGAAGTGCTAAAGAAACACAAAACAGCAACCGGGTGGACAATTGCTGACATAAAAGGCATTAGACCCTCGGTTGCATGCACAAGATACTATTGGAAGAAGGTGCTAAACCAAATATCAAAGGACAGAGAAGGTTAAACCCAGCAATGAAGGAGGTTGTGAAAAGGGAGATAATCAAGTTACTACGGGTGATAATCAAGTTACTAGAAGCAGCCATCATATATATAATTTCGCATAGCAATTGGGTGAGCCCAGTACAATGTGTGCCAAAGAAAGAAGGGATAACAGTCATTAAGAACCACCAGAATGAGCTGATCCCCACCAGAGTGGTCAATTCTTGGAGGGTGTGTATGGATGCGGAACAAGGCAACCAGAAAGGACCACTTCCCTTTACCTTTCATCTACCAAATTCTGAAAAGGTTAGCAGGTCATCAGTATTATTGTTTTCTTGATGGATTTTCAAGGTGCAACCAAATTCCTATTGCACCAGAAGACCAGGAGAAAACAACATTTACATATCCTTATGGCACCTTTGCATTCAGAAGGATGCCATTCGGCCTATGTAACGCTCCAGCAACTTTGCAGCAATACGTGATCTCACTCTTTTCGGATATGGTGGAGGACATCATAGAGGTGTTTATGGATGATTTCTCAGTTTTTGGTAATTCTTTTGATAACTGTCTCCATAATCTAGGGAAAGTTATGAAAAGGTGCATTGACACTAATCTGGTCCTAAACTGGGGAAAATGTCATTTTATGGTGACCGAAGAAATAGTCCTTGGCCATAAAATTTCTACTAATGGATTTGAGTTTGACAAAGCCATAGTAGAAGTCATTGAGAAAATGGATCCTCCCGGATCAGTCAGAGGAATCCGTAGCTTTCTCGGCCATGTAGGATTCTACAGAAGGTTTATTCATTGTTTCTCTAAGATCTCTAAACCACTCTGTAACTTGTTGGAAAAGGATGCAGCATTCATCTTTGATGAGGATTGTATAAAGGCTTTTACAACATTGAAGGAAAAGCTCATCTCTGCTCCAGTGATCATAACCCCTAATTGGTCTCAGCCAATTGAACTCATGTGTGATGCCAGTGACTTTGCAGTAATGATGGGACAAAGAAGAGATAAGGTCCTCCATGTGGTGTACTATGCCAGCAAAACATTAAATTTAGCCTACGTAAATTATTATACCATCGAGAAAGAAATGTTGGCTATTGTCTTTGCTTTTGATAAGTTCAGGTCATACTTGCTTGGAATGAAAGTGGTAGTATACACTGATCATGCTGCAATCAAGTACTTGGTCACCAAGAAGGATTCAAAACCACGGTTGATCAAATGGATATTGCTCCTACAAAAGTTCAATTAGGGAATCAAGGACAGGAAAGGGACTCTGAACCAGGTGGTAGACCATCTATTAAGACTGGAAGGGTTGCATGAGGACTCAGAGCCAATCGAGGAGAAGTTCCCAGACGAGCAACTCTAGGGAGTAGAGGTGAAGCTTGCCCAAGTGACAGACAACAGGCCCTGGTATGCTGATTATGCTAAGTTCACAACATTGTTCCTGCAGATTTAAACAATCAACAAACAAAAAGGTTCCTTCGTGAGGCTAAATCCTATTACTGGGAGGAACCCTATTTGTTTAAACTCTATGCAGACAAGTTGATTAGGAGATGCATACCATCAGAAGAGACAGGAGCAGTAGTAGAAAAATGTCATTCATCCCCCTATGGAGGTCACTTCAGTGGACAGAGACTGCTGCTAAGATCCTACAATCAGGTTTTTTCTGGCCTACACTGTTTGGTGATACTAACAAGTTTGTTAAGTGTTGTGATAAATGCTAGAGATCAAGAAATTTGTCCTAGAGAAATGAACTGTCTCAGCAAATGATGTTAAAAGTGGAATTGTTCGATGTCTGGGGAATCGACTTCATGGGTCCATTCATCCCCTTGAACAACAACACGTAGTATTCTGGCAGTAGACTATGGGTCCAAATGGGTAGAAGTAGCAGTAGTCAAATCTAGTGATTCCAAAACAGTGATCAAGTTCTTAAAAAAGAATATCTTCGCTAGATTTGGAACTCCTAGAGTCAAGGTCAGTGACGAAGGATCGCATTTCTGTAATAAACACTTCTCAGCGCTGGCACAAAAGTTTGGTATTCATCATAGAGTGTCCACTGCATATCACCCTCAAACGAATGGTCAGGCTGAGGTATCCAACAGAGAAATCAAGTGTATAATGGAGAAAGTAGTATGCAGTACAAGAAGGGATTGGTCATTCAGGCTTGATGACGCTCTGTGGGCCTTTAGAACAACATACAAGACCATAGGCCTTTGTCCCTTCAAAATGGTCTATGGAAAGGCTTGTCACTTACCTGTTGAGTTGGAACACAAGGCTTTCTGGGCTATTAAAGCACTTAATTATGAAACAGAGGCAGTACTAAGCAGAAGATTGTTACAATTAAATGAAGTGGAGGAGTTCAGAAGAAATGCATATGAGTCATCCAGACTATACAAGGAGAGGGCCAAAGGTTATCATGACAGAAGAATAGCAAAGAAACAGCTGGAGGAAGGTCAGTTGGCTTTATTATTTAACTCTAAATTACATGTTCTCCTCAACGAGTTTTGTGAAGATGAGGACTACGAATTGAGGTGGGAACTCACAAAACAAGAAACCTTACCATTTTCGCTACAACAAACTCGTTCCGAAAAATAAGTTTTGGCTCCACTTCATCTGCTCCAACATTATGCCTACAAGGTACACTACAAGAGTGACCTATGAAGTGGCGGTATTGATTTACGCCATCAAGACCTTGACTCCAATGGATCTGGGTACCATTCTGAGATAGCAATTGACTCGATGTGTCACTGATGTTAAAGTTAAAAGCTGGTACCTGCCTGTGTTGGTAACAATGTTGATGGCCAGATCTGGTGTGACATTCACTCTAGAGGACATATAATTAACTATCCCAGCACTTTGGAGTTATAAGACATTAGCAAGGGAGCCACCTACAAAGCTGTACGACGAGCCAACACCAGTACCACATTGTAGGAGGAATGATTTTTCCAAACAACAGAGTTATATGCTCAATTACATCCATCAGGAATTCTAACGTATCAACAGGAAGCTCAAGCACATTCATGATAAATTGGAATGCTCAATCTCCTGCAAAGAAATGGATGACAGTCCACCACATCCCTTTCAAGAGATGAAACCTTAATCACCCACGGAAGCTTTCTTTTCTTTTTCTTTTATCTTTTGTTTCTTCTAATTAGGATTATTTTTATGTTTTCCTATTTTGAGTCTATGCATCTAGAGTCCTTAGGATAGATCGAGTCCACTTTGTATGATGATTTTTCTGATTACAGTCAAATTGCGTACTAAGTGTTTGTGATTGTTCTTCCCCTGCATCTCTTTTGTCAGCATTGGGGACAATGCTTATTTTAAGTTTGGGGCAGAGATTTGTATGTGTTGCATATTTTAAGTTTTGAGAGGATCAAAGTTTGAAAAATCTACAAAAAAAAAAATTTAAAAATGTGTGTGCAACTGTAAACAAGTCTGTGTATATACAGTGTCAAAAGTCTAAGATGATTCAAAAATATGCGGGAAATTTTGAATTTTTAAATACTTATGGATTCACTTGAAGTCAGTCCCATAGTTCTTCACTTTCTCGAGCACAATATGTCACTTGCTATAGTGAGAGTTCTGAACTTAATGCTAAAATATGAATGCGTTAATTTTATCGTTGTGATCTTATACAAGAGTCCACTTGTTTGAAACTTGGGGGGACTGTAAACCTCAGTGAAGACTAAGGCAGTCGTTCGCATCATGGCAGACTCCGTAAGAGCCCATGGTGGTTTGTAAAAGCCTAAAAACCTTGAGAAAGGGGAATGGTAGGCGGTTGAAATGAGATGAAAAGAAAAAA